TTTTTTTTTTTTTTTTGCTGTCCAGACATTCAAAAACCCATCTGAATAGGATCTGGATATGCAAAAATGATATTTTTCTGACAGTCTGAACAAGGCCATAGATCCTTTCCATTGATCAAAAGGTTATTTAAGAAAATGTAAAGAACCTTGTACCACTATAATGTTCTTCACACTATTGTTTATTGGGGAATCCAGTTGGAAGCATATGGTAGTTTGCATATACCGTTGATAATGTTTTGTATATTACAATGTTGGGTTTGTTTTTCATGAAAGACTCCTTTTAACATTGGCATTCTTTTGGTGTTTGTTTTGATATCTTGGTTCTCCATTTTCTTTTTTTTTCAGGCTCACGTTTGATCTGGTTTCTTTTTAGCAGGCTATTTTCTCTGGCACTCTTTGATTTCTTGAAACATTTCAGCAGTTTTTTAATAAAGTGAAATGTGAGAATTCCCTCCGTTTTGTTTGTCATAGTCAGGCTCCAAAGGCTGTGACTTGTTCTTTTAATTGTCAGCATTTCTCACTGTGTAAACACCATCAACAATGGCACAGTGAGAATGTATTGAGCATGTGTGAAGAACACTGGCCTGCTAGCTAATTAGCAGTTACCTCTTATCTTGCCACCTGAGGTTTAGGGAGTTAATAACCTGCATAGCTTAAGATCTAAAATTATTTTGCAGGAGATTTTCTTTAGTCATTAGTTTAGATAAGTACTTTGAAAGTTTTTTAGTCGGGTGACCTCCTGCATGTGTAGTTGCATACACAAAAAGGGGTTTAGCAGTTAACGTCCAGCATGTTTACACTACATAACATGCCCCAGTGGTATCACAGCAACTTAGTTTAGTAAACTGCACAATGTCAAATATGTAGTGACTCACTTTTAGTATTATGAATCTCTCTTTCTGACCTATAGTACAATTAAATCATTTCATTTAGTGACTAGATGATTTAGAATGAGGCAAAAACCTAACTAGGTCTGTATGCATGCTGTAAACTGTACTTGCTGCTATATCTGCTCAATTAAAAACAGATCTAGTTGAAGAACAATATGTACAGTAACATTTGCCAAGTTTTCTGTGGATAATAGGAAGCTCCTGTAGCACCGCCTAGTGGCAAAAACTATTACTATTTGCTTGCCTTCCTGTTATTCCCATGTAACTGTAGTTTTTTTTTATTTATTTATTTTTTATATCAAGCTGTAATTAGTAACTGATGAAGCCTTTTAAAAACTAGCCATTGTCCTTCTTTTTTCTTCTGTGTTCTGTCCCTTTAAATGTATCCCACAGGCGGAGCCCTGGCTGCCATCATTAGTTCCGTGGGTGTTGCTGTCCTCGGTGCCGCCTCAAGTTACTTTGCATACCAGAAAAAGAAACTCTGTTTCAAAGTACAAGGAGGTAAGTTTGATACTTTTTTCCAATGAAAGAATCAGAATTCTTTTATAAGCACTACCTTGGTTTTGATTTATGAAAGTTGCTTACTTTGAGCAGTTCAGATTGGAGGAAAAACAAAACCTCTAGACTTCTCAAACTTTTATTTTTATTCTTCAGTCTTACAACCTTTTAATAATTTGCTCCACAACTCTATATAAAAACCTGTGGGAGCCACAGTAGTTGGTTTATTGTAAAGTAGCTCTACTAATGCAGCAGCTCTTGTAGAGGAAATGGGGGTTGGGTGCATGACGTGGCAGGCCGTTAAACTGCTTTGCTTGTATTACAAAGCCCTTGGGTTTTCAACCGGTGGCTCTGTGGCGCAATGGATAGCGCATTGGACTTCTAAGCTACACTTAGAGAAGTGATTCAAAGGTTGTGGGTTCGAGTCCCACCAGAGTCGAGTCCCCATTTTGTTTTCAGAGTGTGTTAAAAAGTGGCTAACAATGCAATTAGTACGGTGTTGTCCAAGTGTAAGTTATGTTATAGAACTTTAGTAAGAGAATTTATGAAAATGGCTAAAAAATACTTTTTCCTACAGGGGAGGATCCAGAGAGTGGCAAAAACCGTGGTACTCAGTCTGATCCTCAAGGTAAGCTTTTCAATTTCAAGGCTGCATTTGTTTTTTTATCAAAAATATGGTAAAAGTTTTCTATTTGAATATATTGTAAAATGTAATTTATTCCTGTGATGGCATAGCTGAATGTTCATTAAAATCATTCTAATATGCAGATTTGCTTCTCAAAAAACATTTCTTATCAACGTTGAAAATGTTTGTGATTATTATTTTTCAGGATTTTTGATGAAAAGACAGTTAAAAAGAACAGCATTTAATTGAAATAAAAACAATTATAATGGTCACAAAAGATTTGTCACCTTTGGTCAATTTAATGTGTTGTTGCCAATTTTCTTTTATATGGATTATATGCTTTCTGTTACAATTCCTCACCTAGTAGATAACAATTTACTATTTTCTCTCCCAAAGTTCTCAGCAACCTGCTCCGTTCATCGTAACTGCATTGGATCTGCACATTGAAATAATATATGCACACTGAGCATGTACATCTATGGAGAGCCTAATCATATGGGAAACATCTGTTACACAAAAGGCTGGTTTAAGACTGTTTTAAAAATCTTAGTGTAAGTGTGTTTTTGTTTTATTTTTATTTTTTATTTGGATTATCGAAGTTGTATTGACTGATCTTTATTTTAAGAATGTATTTTTTTTTTTCTGTATTCAACCTTTTTTTGTAACAAATATTTAATCTTTGGAGGAAGTAGAGTAATATGTCACTAAATGGCTCGGTGTTCTTTTTGTTTTACAAGTAGTGCCAATGTAAGATACTGCACTTTAAAATGGCATTGTTACTA